CTTCAGCGACCGACCGCCGAAACCGGTCTACAGGAGATCTTCTAGCGTATGTCACTCACATATGGGGCGAGGCCATCGAGAAAAACGGGGAAGCGATTGCTGTTTCCCTCGACGTCTCCCGAAGGCCTTTGGTAGGGTCTGACACGCTAGCCTAATAAGCAAGATTCCATCGTATGGCTTATCCCTGGGCCTGATCAGCTGGATCAGTAACTTCTTGAGAGAACGTTCGTTCCGAGTCGTTGTCAATGGCCCTTCATCACGAGCAATGGTAACCAATGCCGGAGTTCCTCAGGGGTCTGTTCTCTTCGCAACTCTCTTCCTGTTGCACATTAACTGTCGCGAAACATGCGATTTCCGAACTAAATATTATTAATTTTATGTTGGTAACACTGTGTAAAATGATCATAACTTTGACATAAAATTTGCCGGGTAAAAGTAGATAAAAAAAAATTTATTTTAACGGATACAAGTTTTTGGGTAGTTGTGTTACAATGATGAGGAGACATAATGAATGTTGAAGTAAAGAATCCCTCGGGCCTGAGAACAGTAACGACTGCTGCATGGGTGAGTTGCACATGTATTGTATAATTGTGTAAAGAGGAAATGCATTGAGAGATACATAAAGATGCGTGATGATAAGAGTAATTGTGGAAGATCTGGAGGTCGAGGTGGTCTATGGGGAAGGCAGGAGGACCAGTAAGAGCTATACCGACAATATGTCTATCTATCTGGAGGGAGGAATCTATCGTCATGAAGGCGACTCCTGGGTAGGCATATGCTGTCGGATAGAAATGTTTACAGACATTCTTTAATGTTGTGTGTAATCCACGATGTTAATGAGTTACAAGTAAAGCATCTAATCTAACAATGCACGTCCTAATGTATGTATGTATTTGTCGCAATGGCATCCCTTAGAATTCAGGCATAGGTATAACTGACTTCACGACATTATTGATCTGCTCATACCCGGTATCTATGGGTACCAAATACGTCTGAAAGAGAGGCCACGGTAGCACGTATGAGTCTCACACTTCTGGCAGTCTCCGAATGGGGCGATGTCAACCTTGTGAAATTCAATGCCACCAAAACACAAGTGTGTCTGTTCACCGCCAAACGGAGCCCGTTCACCATGGCTCCTACTCTCCGAAATGTCTCCTTGGAATACACCGACTGTCTTCTGTTATTGGGAGTAGAGATATCCTCTAACCTTAATTTTGGGCGCTTCATTGAGTCCAAAGCTAAAACGGCAGCTAGAAAGCTAGATATCCTAGCAAAGGTCTGGCGATACTTCACACCAGAACAGCTTTTGAGGTTGTACAAAGCGCAGGTTCGGTCATGTGTAGAGTACTGCTGCCACATTTGGGCTGGTGCCGCAAAATGCCACCTTTCGGCATTGAATTCAATGGAGAGGCGTGCGAGAAGGCTTATTGGCGACCCGAAATTGGTTGAAACCAATCTGCATAGCCTTCAGCACAGACGCAGAGTTGCTAGCCTCTCGGTATTCTACGGGATACATTTTGGAAAGTGTGCGCTGGAATTGCACAACCTAATTGTCGCCTCCCCATTCTACCATCGAACGTCTCGACGCACGGCCGGTATCCATCCTTTCGTCGTCAACATCCCACAGGTAAGAACGGCGCGATTTGATTCGGCATTCATAATTATGTACCGCCAAGGACTAGAATAAATTTCCAGCGTCAGTATTTCCGTCCGATTATAATGTTAATGTCTTCAAATCAAGAGTGAATAGGCTGTTACTAGGTTAATGCGTTACACCACCCAAGGCTTCATCACCACTTACCATCAGGTGGGATCGTAGTCAAGCGTTAACCTATAAAGTATAAAAAAAAACTCGCGAAAGATCTAGGATAAAAGGTATAAATAATACCGAAATTTGCTCTGAAACATTAAGTACATCTCAAATCATTTTTTAATTTAATGATACTCATAATTACAAATTTCATATCATTAACGATGATATCAATTAAGAATATGACGGTATTATTGGTAGTGATTTTCTAGGTTATTTTTAAGCTAATATAAATTATAATTCAAATTAAATAACTATGTTCAGCCGACTTATATCATTCCTGCACGCGCCGAATCGGTTATCGAGTGCGCCGTATCTAATTTCTCGTCGTCGTCGTCGTCATTGTATCAGAAAGTTATCCTTTGTCTCTCGTTACTGACATCTTAGAACAGCTAGGTTGTTAAAAATATTTCAGTACGTTGGATCCCTCTAGTGGTTTCCATCAGATTAAAATTATTAAGCTAGTTATAACATTTAACACATTTACAATGCAATCCAACGATATAGGTACTCACTTACATTCACTCTAACATACAAAATACACACAAACGTGCGCGCGTGCGTGCAGACACCCTCACTCACACAAACACACATACACACACCTGGTTCTTGCATGGTTAAGCTAAAAGAATTATTTAAAAATTTCGAAGCCTTATTAATTTATTTTATCTCTCTTGTTCTTTTTGTATTTAATTTCTTAGTCTGCATAAGCCAAAATGTTATTCTAAGAGAGCACTGACTCCTGACTTACAGGGTAACCTAATTTGGGAGACAGGGCAAATTGACTCGTTACGTATGTTGTTACTCAATAAAGAATTATTATTAAAATGAATCCCAAAGATGCACGAAAAACGGGTTTTACGGTTTACACTAATTCTACTAGTTTTGGGCACTACGACGAAATTTTAAAGGCTGCCCGGTCATATCGTTCTCCGCCTTCTGCCGTATCATCCCGATCTCAACCCCATTGATCTAGTGTGGGCCGATATAAAGAACAATTCAGCTTCAAATTATATAAAGTCATCATTGGACGACAAAATTTCAATCAGCACAAGATTTTTTTCTGAATTCACTCCGCAAAAATGGCAAAAGTGTGACGACCATGTACAAAAAATTGAGGACCAATACATGAGGTTTGACAATGTGATAGACGAGTTCATCATAAATCTAGGAAATAAGTCAAGATTCTGAGGAGGATATGGAAATTGAAGACATGTCTAGTAATGAAGAAGAAGATATCGATTAATTTTGTTCTATAACGGCGATAATGAAAATGTTTTTTTGGTTTGTTTATTGAGAAATGGTAATTTGCTTTTAAAAGTGTATCGTAAATAATAAAATTTAATGAACACTTTCAATTATTAATTTATTTTTGTTTAACTAGGAAATAAGAAATATTACATTATAAATACCGCCATTACATTGATTGTGATAGATTCTAACATATTTTCCTGAGATTTATCTCAGGAAAATCAATTAAAATACAATTAAATCAATTTAAATACCTTATGTGCGTCTTGTTAATCGCGCCCTCCCCTGTCTCACCGCCCGCATACCTCAGGCGGTGACTAGCACTTCCGCACACACTATAGTACTACCGAAATATGATGTATCTAAAAATTGTATAGCTATTGCTCATAAGATAGAGCCTGGTGACAGACAGACGGACTGCGGAGTCTTAGTAATAAGTGTCACGTTAGTATCCTTTGGCTACGAAAACCTAATAATTACGAATTATACACAATATAGTCTGCGATACCCATACGTATACAAAATCTTCAAATTGATCTTAAAAATCTTCGGTCAACGTTACATAAAACAGACAATTAATTTCTGTTACTTGACATATATAAATACTGTGTTTTTGTTTGAAGCATACAAGTAGGTAAATTGTGAAGTGGTGAAACGTGAACATGATTCAACACATTCAATATGATACTAACAGATTGAGTTACGGACGGTAAATACTAGCCAGGGTTGGCAACCATACTATATACTATGTAGTATGTTTATAGTACTTTTTAGTTTGTTTTGCTTTTTTTTTATTTTAAAATTGTTATATCTAATCTTTGAAATCAAAGCGATATTTTAATGGTGTTCTTTTATCTCGTACTGTATTGTCATCTCTATATTTATATTATCAATAAACCTATTATTTAGTGCTTTTTATTGTTCATTTTCATTAAACAATCCAATTTTCACTAGCTATTACTTAGTTTCAGTATTTACTCATTTTGAGTCTGCATAAACTGTTGCAAAAATATATAGTATGTACGCAAATAATATAAAATATTATATTTTGTATGTAAAAATATTATATTTTGGACACTAAAATCTACCAAATAATATTTAAATTAATCTTTACAAAACTGTCTAATTTCTTCAATTTGTCTTAAATCTTATTTCATAATAATAATAAGATTTATCGAAGATAGAGTTCAAATAAATTGATAAAATTTGACTAATGTACTAGCCGTATGTACATTATAGTGTACATATATCCGACCATGCGAGCGGATCGTGGTCCTATATACTTTAAAAGGTTTACTATATTTTTAAAGCTTATTTTGATAAATATTATATTTCTCTGAAGAATTGTTGGCAACCCTACCCTCCTTATATCGATGTTAGGTATGTGTAATGATAATTTACAGGAGTTGTTTCGATAACGTATCAAAATATTCATCAGTTCCAGTGTAGAATTCAAATATGAAGTTGGAAACTTCACAGGAAACTGAAGAACTTAACCAAGAAGATGCAGTGGCAATAAAATATTTTAAGTACTTTAATAGCAAATAGATGAGGTAATAGTAGATTTACGATAATGAATGTTAAGCGACAGTAACAAACATCTGTATTTAGTTGGGTGTAGTACCCATAAATTATTCATGAAACTCTGTGAAGCTTTCGAAGGTATGTAACTTATGAAAATTAGTCTGTCATCCAGACTATATAAAAATAATAGATTATGAGAAATAATAAGAATATCTCGCTATGTCACGTCACAACTAAGTAGAAAATATACACAGGTGAAAAAAAATAATATGTGTTTAATATTTAATAATTTGCCCGATAGACAGACAAACAAAAATGAGTCATCGTCCCTTTTGTCAGGCATGATGTTCCGCGACATAAGGACGATACGCGACCCATTTATGTCATATATGCACCAATACTTATTTCACAATACCTGTAACTCTGGCTGACTTTGAAAAGCATCCGCCCAACATTGTATGAGACTCAGCACCTTCTCTTGGACTACTGTTGGTGGATCATTTTTCGGGCCAATAAGTTTTACCTGTAAAAACAAATATAGATAATATTGTGATAGCTAAATCTATAATAGTGGAGCTTTTTTATGTATCATATGAATCATGGGTGATGACGTATACTATAGTCATGGTCAATAAGGCCACACCTAAAGATAAAGAGACAAAAAAGATGACATCGACCCTCCCGTCAATGAGAAAGATAAGAATAGAGGGTGGTGTATTTTGAGAAATGTGCGTCAAAACTAATATTAATCAATTACTCACAAACCATTATTAATTGTGTTGTTTTTACCATTGAACATGTTTTCTAGTCTTTGAAGAATGTTTTTTTCATTACTCTTAATATAACCATATGTGTAATAATATCATTTATTCATCTCAGATGCCTATATGATTTATACATTTTTTAATTCAAAGTAATAGGAAATGAGACAAAATGGTTTATCTCTCTCACTCAGGGACAGTGAATGCATCCACAGTCTCTGTTATCACTCCCCACCTATAGATAATGTATGGAATATTCTTTATTTGATACTTTGCCTAGGTATTAATATCAGTTACATAGCCAGTAATTATTGTTTTGAGATATTTAGAGAGATACACAATCAATTTTTATAGGTCATGGAAATGCTTCAAAATGTATCTGTAATTCACATATGCCTACTCTCAAAATCCAATAACTATCATTGAAATACATAAATATTTAGGTATATTAGATCTGGCACGAAGGTAAACATAAAAGTCCACAAATATTATAAAGATCTTTTTGGAAAAATCTAAATATTTCATTACATCTTCATAAACAATCCATTAATAGATATTAGTTGGTAAAATTTAGTCAAAACCAGTTTATTTGACACAAGTTTGTTTTATCAATTAGTATGTATTTAGGGCAGATTCATGGGCATATTATAATGCTACCAACCACTCAAGTTGTTGTTGTAATATTTATTGATATAAATATTTAATTTAATATAATTGAGGAGTTAAACTACAAGGGCCTTATTAATTTACAGGGTTACTAATAAGTGAAATGCAAGTACAGTGGAATCCATTTATAATGATATCGAAGGGAATTGACAAACACATATTTGGTTTTGGTGACAAATTTGTTATATGTAATTATTTTTATGTAATATATAATATTTTTTAATAAAGCATAAAAAATACAAGTAAAAAGTATAAATGATACATTTAATTATGTAATGTATGTATTATTCATATTTTATTAAGCAATCTGTAATTTTTGCCTGCTTTTGTTTTTTTATTTTATTGTAATAACAGTCTCTAATAGTATTGTCTAAAGAAAACATTGCCATGGTCAAATTACCATTTCCAATATTGCTATGAACAAATTGTGACTTCTTTTTCAAGAATTTTATATGAAAACCAAACTTTGTTGTGTAATTACGTCATAATAGGTGGTTGGTCACTATAGGCGGTGTCATATTAAACAGATCCTACTGTAATGTAATCTTTTTCACTCAGAATGAAATAATCTTGGACTGTTGTAAACAGAGATACAAATAGTTAATCAATGGTTATAAATAATTATTATAAGTAAGACTATTAGAATATGATTTAAGAAGGCCTTAGTATGAACTATCGAATGCAGTGTTAACACTATTGTTACACTGAATCACTTTAATTTTTAAACTTGAAGAGAATTCAAAACAATTCTGTTATGTTTATCATAAGAACAATGGATAATGTTTTTATAGTTTATACAATATTATGTGAAATATCCATTGTAAGTGATTAAATTCAAGTTAATTTGATACTTTTTTTATGTTTGAACTGATGATAATTTACATCTGAAAGAGAAATATAAGTCAATTTGATCCTTTTTTATGTTTGATCAGATGATAATTTACATGTGTTTATTTCAGTTTGTCTGTGATCATGACATCTTATCAGATAAAACATAAGAAGATAACATATAAACGTTCATTGACTTTATTTTTTATTGAATATCACAAATTATATTTATAGAGAAACATATTGCTTTGTTTAAAAAAACAAACTTGTTTAATGTTTTATGACAAATATTGAGTAACTACCAATTCTTTAAATACCTTATATTACATAATTATGTATCTGCATAATATATGAGTATATTATGAGCTACAGTATAAATATTCTATAGTAAATTATAGTATGTCATATAAAATACTCCTATATATTATATAACAATTTTATAGAATTATATAAAGTAAGATTGTTTTGTTACAATAAAAACTCCAAACAAATAGTTAGACCCTAATAAAGTTTGAAAGATGCACAATACATTTTACCTCATTTTATAAATTATTCTGCCATAAAATAACACTTCCATGGAGAGATATTTAGTTAGTTTATTTGCAAGACAATAAACATAGGTGTGAGTTAATTTAGACAATTATAAAAAGGAGCCTCATGAAAGATTAACATTTCAACTTAAAACTGGCTTTGCAAATTGTGCAGTTCAACTATGTAGATATACCTGTCAAATAAACCATAACATGCACGGCCTTTACCTTAAGATATATTTATTCATTACTTTATCTTAATATTTTTATCAATATTCTAGGAACATTTTAAACTACATTATAGAATAGACTTACCAATTCTGATATAAACTCCTTATTACACACTGAGACATGGAATGGTCTTCCACAGTTCTTCACACATGTTTCAAGAACTGTCAAGGTGTACATAACTACAGTGTAGTTTTTTCCAGCACTTTGGGTTAACCGTTTCCTTATAGCCTTAATTGCATCTTTAGGACCATCTGCTGTACTATTAATGATATCACATATTTCCATATTGAGACCCCAGTTTTCAGATGGCAGTGATCCATCTGTGGCTTGTTCTGGAATGTTTTAATGAAGAGGTCATATTAATTATTATTTACTATTGTGAAATCATCATTTTTATATTTCATAATTACATTAATTTTACATCTAGTAAAAAGTAAAACAAAGGTAAAAATTAAAGATTAGATGTGCGTAAATAAAATCTATAAATCACGGGAACAGGAAAATGTATTACCAAATCATCAATTTTTAGATTTTCTCACCTATTTTTTGACCTACTGGTGTAGAAAAGGGGTTTCCTACCCCAAAGAACGACATCTTTACAAATTAATAAATTATTTACGTAAAATTTCACCGATTTCACTCGTCACCACACAAAACGTAATTCACAGACCATACACAAAATATTTTTTTTTTACAGGCTCGGTAAAAAGTCACACAGGCTAATATCTTATATTATAGTCTGTGTAACTTTTTATCGGATGTAGTCTGTGTAACTAGGTGATTTTGTGAAGAGAAAACCCAAAGAGTAGTATATTATTTTTTAAAATACAAGACAACGTAAATCAAAAAGAAATGAAATGCAAACTAAATGCCATCAAAACACGAATAGTTACATATGAATGATAGCAAGCGACAGGAACTTTATTGAAGATTCATTGAAGATTCCCAACGCTATCTTAATATTTATGTTGAATATTATTAGAAAAAAACCGTCTCAGATTCCAACCTGCACTCAAACCGACGACTCTACACAAGCAGTGATATAATTAAAAATACATGTGTAAGATCAAGCATTTTTTAATTAATGACGTGTTTTTGTTCTACTCTTTGTCACTGACATTTTGAAACTATTTACATAGAGATAAATAAAACTAAACCTCTAGCAAGGAGGTTCAACGTTATAACATTCGTCCCTTCCTATTCTAATTTTTCAATCAAACGGCGTGGTGGGTATCTTATTCGAATACTCCTACGACTTGTGGGAATATCTCCATGAGCAGGTGCTGTTCTGGATGGAGTGTTAGGTAAAACGGGTATATGGGGTGGAGCATTATTAACATGTGGTGTAGATGGTGCAGAATCGTTTATATCACTGTTTACTTGCGGTGAGATTGATGCACTAGAGTTATCTGGACGAATGTGATCCGCATGTCTTCTGCGTAAAACACCATCAGCTGTTTTTATGATATAGGAATATCTGTGTGTTTGCCTCTCCACTGTGGCTGGTAGCCATTTCTTATCATCTCTAGTTTTAACGTAAACATTTTTTCCAGGTTGGTAGTTTTTAGAATTATTTTCTGACATGATGTTTGCTTTTATTTGTCTATGTTGTAGGGTTTTTCTAATACAGGGTCAAGCATTATCCAAAATGCAGTTGAGTTGTCGTCCAAACATTAATTGAGCTGGAGAATTCAGGGTACAACTGTGTGGAGTGTTTCTATATGTAAAAAGAAAATTCCGTAATTTCTCTGTTAGATCGTATTGTGTGTCGAGTTCACTGGCCAACCTTGTTTTGAAAGTTCGCACTAGACGTTTAGCTAATCCATTGGCGTGGGTGGTATGGAGATGATCTGATATGCAGTATCCCCCTTTTTCTGATGTATATTGAGGTCCGTTATCAGAAACAATAATCTGTGGTAATCCAAAGGTAGTAAAGATGTCGTGAAGTTCACTGCACAGTCTATCTGTTGTTGTCTTGTTCATTGGTTTTATCTCGACCCACTTAGATAAACCATCGCATAAAACTAGTCAATATTTTCCTAGAAATGAACCTGCAAAATCGATGTGTAGTCTTTCCCATACGTGGTTTGGAATTGACCATGAATATATGGGTAGCTCTGAGTTGTTCGGTCTATTTTCTTGACACCCTCTACATGAATTCACGTAGTTGTCTATATTTTCCTCAATTGATGTCCACCAAACATAAAATCGTCCAAGTGCTCTCATGGCTGATATTCCTGGATGTCCTCGATGAAGGTACTTCAATGTTGCGTTTCTCATTGAATGCGGGATAACAATTCTCCCTTGCCACATTATTATGTCATTTTCAACTGACAATTCATTGCGTTTCTTAGAATATGGTTGTAAATTGTTTTCATCATATTTGTAGGTATTCCAATTTGTTCTTATGTATAATTTTACTTTTGACAATATTGTGTCCTTATTAGTTTGTTCCCTAATAGTTTCTTAGTTTATAGCTTTCTCATTAATCATTAATTCACTTATTCTTTTTACTACCTCGTTGACCGATTCTTCTATCTTGGTTGGTCGCTCAGTAGGGTTTGGAAGTCTCGAGAGTGGATCGGCTAGTATATTGTTCTTTCCTTTTGTATACTGTATATAATAATCATAACTGCCTATTAATGGGCTTTATAATTCTCTAATATAATAATGGGCTTTACTAATCTGATTATTCGATTGTTTACTAATTTAGGTAAATTTCTATTAGTTCCTAATAGGTGTATAAGGGGTTTGTGGTCTGTTACTAATGTGAATTTCGTTCCTCGAAGATATTAGTTAAATTTTGTTATTCCGAACAATATTGCTAACGCTTCTCTATCAATGACTGAATAATTGCTTTCTGCTTGTTTCAATTTTCTTGAAGGAAATGCGATTGGTTTTTCAATGCCGTTAATTTTATGGTACAAAACAGCTCCGATACCTTTTTCTGAAGTATCACATGCTAGGTAAAGGGCTTGTTTGTCATTATAAGGAATCAGAGGTTTTGATCGCGTTATACATCTTTTGGTCTCTTTAAAAATAGCGTTTTCTTTCCCAGACCACTTCCACTTTCGTTATGTCCTGTCAAAGTGTGCAATTCTTGAGTGTGCATTTGTTGATCTTATTCCATCTTTGCTAATCGTATGACCCCAGTACTCTATGTCGTTTTGTAAAAATGTACACTTCTTAAGATTCACTTTCATCCCTGCTCTCTGAAGTCGGTTCAATACTTTTTCTAATGTTTTGAGGTGATCTTCATTTGTTTTTCCAGTCACGGCAATATCATCGAAATAAATGGCTGTATTAGGGATGTCATTAAGTAGATTTTCAAGGTAATGCTGAAAAATTGCTAGTGCTGTAGTTATACCAAAGGGCATTCTGTTATATTGGTAATAATCTTTATGTGTAGAGATAGTTAGGTACTTTCTAGATGCAGGAAAGTCAATCTTTGAGTACTTTTCTCCGTCAGCAAGTCTTTGTCTTAAATGGTCAAATAAGGGTACTGGATGTGTATGTGTTACTAGAATTGGTTTGATTTTTGTGCGGTAATCGCCACAAATTCTAATTTTACCATTTAGTTTGAGAACATTAACTGTTGGGGTGGCCCATTCTACAGGTGTTGTGTTTGGGTCAATTTTTTCAATTATTCCTTCTTTTGCTGTCCAATTCTATTTCTACATTTTTTCTTATGCTGAATTTGATTGGCCTTGCTGGTAGATGTTTGGGTTCAGTTCCCGGTTTGATGAAAATGTTGACCTCATAATTTTGTACTTCACCTAGTCTATCATCAAAAAGTTCTTTATTTTTGTCAATCATTTGTTTTAAAGTTAATGTCTCAGTCTTGACTGAGTAAACAGAACTAGGGAAAAGCATATTAAACATTTCACTCCATTGTAATCCAAACAGCATGGGGTTAGCACAATTAATAACGACCACAGGGAGTATCTTTTGTTTGCCGTCACCTTCTACCGTAACATCGGTAAGACCTTTAGGTTTTAATCTGTGGTCACCATAGGCACGCAATTTTGATGATCTCAAAATGGTGAAGGTGAATGATCAAAACTCTGGAGATCCAATCTTTCTCCAAAATGCTGTGCTTATGATTGAATAAATAGATCCTGGGTCCCAATCCATTGTTAATGCTTTGCCAATTATATGAATGTCAATTTTCTTACATCTCATGTTATGTACGTTAATTTTGTGTATTTTCGAATCATCATCACTGTTACTTTCAGTATCGTTATTATCATAAAAATTATGTTCTCTTGATATCACGTTGTTTACTTCTCTTTTATTTGAAATATTGCCTTCTATCTTTGCTCTCCCAGATTTTAAACAACAGCTCTCAAAATAATCTTTTATGTTGCATGCCTTGCAAATGTAATAGATTGCGGCACAATCGTTTAATGTGTGTTTGTCTGTTTTACCACATCTTTTACAATGATTTTTTTTCAACACTCGTTGTTTGTAACTTTTTAAAAATCGTTTGTTTGTCGTTCCTTGCTGAATGCGGTGTACGTTATTAGAGTTACAAGAAGTATTGTTTTCTGCTAATTCTCTTGATTGTGCAATGTTAAAAATCTGTTCAAATGTTATTTCTACCGTTCTTCCAACATTGTCATGCTCTTGTAAGTCCGGCCATTTTTGTTTCAAATCTATCTGTAGTGCTTCATGGTTAAGACCTGTTGCAAAACGGTCACGCAGTTGACGTTTTAAGAAGTGGCCTTCATAACCGCAGTCTTTGCTAAGTTCTTTGATTTTGTTGGCGTATGTTTCCATGGATTCACCTTCCTTTCTCGTGCAACTCCAGAATTTAGTAAGAGCTTTGAATCTTGTCTTTTTTATTGCATAAAAAACTGTATAATATTGTTTTGATTTCTTCATACGAACCTTCATATATCCGGTGGCAAACAGGTAATGAAAATATCTTTCTGTATTTTCAGATATTCTTGACCATAAATGTTACATTTTTCTTCAAAGTATTCAATAAATTCACTCACCGTTTTTTTTTAAGGGTTAAATTTATCGTTTGTGAAATGGCTTATTTTCTTACATTTGTCATCATCGTTGTTCAATGAATTTGTTTCTGTTTTTTGTTGTGTTTGAACTGCTAAAATGCGTAGTATTTCAGTCAGTTGATTTTGTTGTTTTAAAAAAGCGTTAAATTGGTTCGCATCCATTATAATGGATGCGATTAATCTCGTCGCCATTTGATATAATTAAAAATACATGTGTAAGATCAAGCATTTTTTAATTAATGACGTGTTTTTGTTCTATTCTTTGTCACTGACATTTTGAAACTATTAACATAGAGATAAATAAAACTAAACCTCTAGCAAGGAGGTTCAACGTTATAACAAGCAGAAACTTAAGGTCATGAATAATGCATGAATTTCCTGCCATAAGAAACTTTAATGTGACCAAACCAATCTTTATTTTACTATTACTGTTTAACTCAGTATTATGTCTTCTTTTTGAATATAATATATTACTTAATATCATGAGTAATTATCAAATTGTGCAGAAGGAATTCTGATATAAATTTTAATATAATAAAAAAAAAAATCCTATCTTATCCTAAGTAGTTACCATATTTTTGGTTATATGCACCCGAAGTAAACTATAAGGGCAGCACGGATTTTTTAAAACCGACTGCATTAGGAATTAGGAGTGCAATGTAAACCGAAC